ACTGCAGGACCAATCTGTGCAAGTGCAGTGGGGAGCTGGTGGTGAAACAGCAGGAAATCACAGCCGGCTTTCAGGACCAAGATAGCCACGCCTGGTATCTGAAGACTGGAGAAGTTCCAGTCCCAAGATAACTCTGGACTCCTGTACCAGTGAGTATCTGTTTCTTAAAAATAAGCAGCTACAGTATTTTTTTTACAATAGACTGTAGGATAAATTGCTCCAAAGTGTGTTCAGCTACAGAGGGTTTGTTTTAAAGCGTATCCAATGTTTGCTATAAATACATGAATACTAAAATTTCAATAGCATTACCTCAGTTTCACTTTATAGAGCACTTTGAAGGGTTTTAAGTCCATCCCAATTTTAAATTCATGGTAAACCTAACAGTTAAACTGATGGCTAAAAGACATCACAATACCCCTGCTCTTATCTTTAGCTTCATTTGTGCCTCACTCTGAACTATTATCACTTTGTTACTGGGACCTAATGTACCCTTTCAGATGCAGATAGCCTGACCACAGATAAAACGTTGCCTTTTGAAACTATAAAATGTACATTACAATCCAAAATACCATTAGCCAGTAAAGATCATGTAGTCTGTTTCCAATTTAAAAACAAAATTCTAAGTTCTAAGCATACACTAAAAATAGTGAAAGAAACCGAAAAAAAAAATATCAAGGTGCTTTTGTGAATTTTAGGCACACAAAACGCACCTTACACACTCCTTACTCTGTGACCCCAAATTACCCAGCACTTCTGGGTACATGGGAACATGTGACAACCTCCTATTATACAGTGTTTTGGCATGGTGGGTATGCCTTAAGCCTGAGGCTTGTCACATGGGGGGGGTATTTGATATTACCACACTGTGATCCAACACTGGGTATTTTGGTGGCAAATGTGACAAAAGAAAAATCGGCGCGAGAGCACAGGAGAGGTGGGCTATATAGAAGTACTGTCAATTGCCCTTGAAAGGCTAGCTCACTGCTACTATTGTAAACTTTTAGAATCAATTGTTCCACAGTGCCTGCAGTTACAGAGACCAGTGAGGGGCTTATTTAAAATGCATGTACTTTTTTGTCAAGAACATGTAAATAATTAATTGACCGTAGCTTGGCCACAGTTCTACTTTAAAGTGGAAATACACTGCATCTGAGCACCACAAATTAAAAGAACTTTTTAATACATTTTTCATATTCAAAGCAAAATTCCCCAATACATTCAAGTCTCTGCTTTATTTTGCTGAGAAATCACTTATAACCCCCCCCCCCCCCCCCATCATATCTGGCCATGGCCATCTTGAGTAAGGACAGATGATTCTTGTAGGAATTACTTCCTGTAATCCATCTGTTCTTAGCTCAGGCATGCAGAGGCAGAAGAGTGTGCTTAGCTGAGGAAACCCCTACTCCGCTCCTGAAGACTCCTGGGATGTCGGACATAATTTGCCTAGGCCTGCAAACTAGGAAGTGACTCTTAAAAAAATAGCTTAAAATAAATACGATATACTTTCCTATCTATTTTCTAATGCTGGCAGCATAAGGATTCAAAATAGTCAACGTTGATTGAGAAATTGAAGTTCCACTTTAAATTTAAACCAGTATGAGCATCCCAATACTGATTATAATAACATTCTGACAAAAAGGCCTTGTGCACACTGCAACTCTTTTAAACACTTTTCTTCTGGCAGGAGACAGCAGCATTAACCCCTGGTTCACATATGTGCGTTCCTGTGGGCAGTGTTTTGCGTGGGCATGAGAGTCCATTCATTTGAATGGACTCCCATGCCCGGGGACACACAGGGAAGAAGTCCCTGCACTTCTTTGGAAACCGCAGCCCGCAGCCCAGTGCAGTCGCGATTTCCAGCGCGGGCGGCGTGCCATTAGAATTAATGGCACCCGCCCTCGGGTCCACATTCTTCTGTGTGGGTGGTGCGGCTGCATGGATTTTCGTGCCGATCCACAGCGGCACCACCCGCACATATGTGAACCTAGCCTAAAAGTGTGCATAAGGCGCCTTTTTTTCCCAAGTAGGGATGCATCGATACCCTGTTTTGATCGTTGAGTACGAGTACCAATACTTTCAGTCAAGTACTCACCGATACTAAGTATTGATACTTTGCAGTGCAATTTGCGTTAATCCATAATGTATGGACGCAAATTGCACCGCAAAGCATAGCATACGTTTTGAACAGGAATGCAATTCCTGTCCAAATTACATGCAGTTTCACCACTACTCCCCCACTACTCAACGGTGCTGATCAATCAGGAGCCATCTAGCCCGTACTGTAGCCTGCACTGAGAGGAGAGAAAGCCATGGGTATTTCAAATCCCCAGCTTTTCCTTTTGTGACAGTATGGGATCGGTGTAGGGAGGTTTCCTGCACTGCTCCTGTGTGAACTCAAAGCTATCATACAGGAGCAGTGAGGAAACTGCATGCGATTTGGACAGGAATCGCATCCCTGTTCAAATCGCATGCTATTCTTTGTGGTGCAATTTGCATTCATACATTTTGTATTGATACATATCGCCCTACAAGGTATCGATTTCAGGTATCGGGAGCATTTTCACAAGTTTGAGTAGCCCGTGAAAGTACTCGCCACCCATATCAGTGCATCCCTAGTGTCAAACATTTTGATGTGCATTCATTTCATTGGCCAGAATATTAATTTATTCTTGAAATTAATAAACACTAAAAGAACTAAATGTACCTATCACCTAAGCGTGTTTACACGCTTTTAGGAGTATCTGGGTTTTTTGAGGCAAAATGCTCCTCTGCTGAACGTGCTGGCCCTGTGGTTTTTGCAGCCTCTAAACACTTATGTGTGCATGGACAACTGCTGATAACCGTCCATATTCCCATCGCACATGTTCCTGAAATGAGTTCTCAAAAGGTACTGGGTGTGCAGTGACCACCAGCTGGATATTGGAGCATGCATGATACTGTGTGAATATTTGCCAGCACATCACAGATCTTCAAATAAGTCCAAACTTTTTTTTCATTGAAGAAAGATCATGCCTGATGAAGGGGCTCGTAATAAAAAATTACACTTTTTAAAATGTGATCTTTCTTCAATAAAAAAAAACATTGAAGATCCGTGGTGTGCTGACGACTATGGACATATAGGCCAAAAAAAAACAAAAAAAAAAAAAAAAACACATCAAGACACCCTTAAAAGCAACGTTTGACACCTAGTGTTCATGAGGCCTAAGTGTCTATATGAAGAGATTAATTTGAAGCTTGAACAAATGAAATAAATCACACCATCTTTTTGTAATACGCATGAAAAAATTTTTGATTTTTTTTACATGATACATGCCACACAACAGTTAGAAATTAACACATATTCAAAACGCAATATAGAGGATATATACCCATGCTAAACGAATTAGAATAATTTCCTGGCAACACATGGTGTAAACAAATGAGTCAAATGTCTTTCCAGGGAAGATGAGTTAAACAGTGGGAAGTAGATCAGATAAAAAAAGCTGGCTATAACATTTAGCAAATCTTCATTTCTTTTTACATGCTGTATTAATCTTGGGACAACTACATTGGAAACATAAAGGAGAATCATTGCTATAAGCTGTTATTTTCCTTGCTGGCGGATACAGAGGCCACTGCATGGATACATTTCCATAATACATCCAAGAGAAAGATTACAATGGGAATCATCTACGCTCTCAACTTTCCTAATTTGCAGCATCGTCTGCACCAAAGCATTTTTTTTATTTTACACATTAGTACAAAATAAGGTAACAAATGAATAGATTTTGAAAACAATAATTGTTAGCAATGCTGTTCCCCAGTACTTGCCCCAGGTAAAAAAAAAAAAAAAAAAAGAATCCAGCTAGATCCACTAGAATGTAGCTACGGAAGGTTGTGTCTTTCCCCGTGTTCAATAGATAACTGTGTCCATTTCTACCTTTTTTTAATATAAAACTCTTACCTTGTTTTTCCTGTTGTCATTGTATTTGATAAGATCTAGGATAAAGGCGAGGACTTCTTTAGGGCATAAGTTGTGTATATCTCTGAGCAAAGCCATAGCGTCTGGCATAGTCTGCAAGACAAGAGGTTGGAGAACTCGGTATTATGCATTTTATGCCTCAGGTACAGTTGTATACTTCAAGCATTTTATTAGTTAGATCCTTGTGCCCGCCCCCCCCTCCTCCTCTCTACAAGTAAAAACTATGCTTAAAGGATAAGTTCACCTTTTGGACAAAAAAAAAAAAAAAAGAAAAAAATGTGCATTTATTATTTTTGTCCAAAAGGAGCCTGTAAATCATTGCACCAATGATGGGGCACTATTCCTCCTACTGATATACAAGCTGGAACACTGTTCCTCCCACTGACACCAATGATGTGGTAAAATTCATCTCACTGACACCAAGGATGGGACAATATTCCTCTCACCGATATCCAGGATGGGGCACAATTCCTCCTCCTACTGACCACAGGCATCGTTTACTCCCACTGGCCACTGTATTTTTGGCCAAAACCTTTTTTTTTTCCTTCATCTGTGTTGTGCTGGACAGATATCCCTTTACTGTCTGCCTTGGAGGCATAGGTGAGAGGAAATCACAAAATGAGACACCAGAACACTGGTCCCATTGAAAGATTTCTAATTGCTTGCATGATAAGGGGGGTGAATTTCCCCAGTGGGGACACAGAAAGCAATTAAAACTTGGAAGAGGGCCTAACCCTTCTCCACACTATCTGAAACAATAAATATACCTTTACATACACTTTAAAAGTTTAAAGTGCAGTTTCACTTTAATGCTGTAGGAAGTGGTTCTTATCCATCTGCTAAGTGGAAATTACCAAAAAAAAAAAAAAAAATTAAAAGACATGGGAGATCAAAACAAAAAGATCAACTATAATATATTACAAATAAACAAATTGTAATTACCTTCTGTAGAAAGTAGCTCTGGAAATTCATGAAGTTGTTTGTTTTTACAATGTTTGGGCAGCTCTTGCAGCAAAACATGCGTGTAAATAATGACTTCATTGCTGGAGGTCCAGTCCACGTGCTCACCATCGAATTTGCAATCTAGGTCAAGTTGTACAGCCAAGACATTAAGAAATAGATGCACTTCAAAGTTCAGCACTAAACAGAACTAAGTGTAGGGGGTCGTCAGTTGTTGTAACTACTTTTAAGTATCTGGAGTTTGGCTTCAATTTGAATTTGCAAGTACATCTAACACTCCCCTCCCACCAGTCTGACAATTCTGCCATCCAAAAGGTGCCCCCTGTGCTCCTCCATCCAGAATGGGGGGCACTCTAATACAGGAGATGTGTTACTGGGAAGCTCACTAAATGAAAACAAAGGGAAAAAGTCTAAAAAAGAAAACTAATGCAGCCATCACATCTAATGATCAGTAAGCTACAATATATTAAATTTTTGGTTTTGTGTAGAATACGGGTCAAACTATACAGACCCTCCCAGTACAGGCAGCCTGTAAAAAAAAAAACTACAGGAGAGAGCAGATACGAGACAATTCACACTGCACAAGAAGACGGTGGCAGTGACAAGTCTGTAATAATGGAAAATCCTACACAAACTGCAGGAATGGTTTATTGCTGGATTACTATATCTGGACGAAATACACAAAAGGACACCGAAATAAAGTATTTGTTTAGTCAAGAGTTCAGCTTTAAGTGTTAACTTTTAATGGTTGAGTTGAATAAAACCATTGAGACAGGTCAGGTCATTTTTCTATTTAAGACAACTCTACCATACCCTGCATGACAAAGAGGCATGTGCTGATGAGCCAGATCTTTCATACCATGCCTAAAAGGAGAGGCCTGTGATGCAGCTGCTGCATACCGTGCCTGAGAGACCTGTGCTGTAGAAGACAGCTCTTCCTTACCATGCCTGACAGAGGCCTGTGCCGTATAAGACAGCTCCACCGTACCACGTTATCAGGGGCAGACTGATAACTCATGGGGCCCCCGGGCAATAGGGGATCATGGGGCCCTGTGTCCTTGCCAAAACTCAAAAAAGCCTATGAAAAAGGTACCAGGGGCATCTCATGGGGCCCCCTACTGACCCCGGGCCCTCGGGCAGTGCCCGAGTTTCCAAATGGTCAGTCCGCCCCTGCACGTTATGTCTGTGCTGCAGGAGACAAGTTCTCCCTGTCCTGAATGACAGCAAGGTTGATGCTGTATAAGGTGGCTACCCTATACCATGCCTGACAGAGAGACCTGTGCTGTATAAGACAGCTCTTCCTTACCATGCCTGACAGAGGCCTGTGCTGTATAAGACAGCTCTTCCTTACCATGCCTGACAGAGGCCTGTGCCGTATAAGACAGCTCCACCATACCACGGTCTGTGCTGCAGGAGACAAGTTCTCCATGATCCTGATGACAGCAAGGTCGATGCTGTATAAGGTGGCTACCCTATACCATGCCTGACAGAGAGACATACACTGTATAAGACAGCTGCCCATACTAAGGTTAACAGAGGCCTGTGTTGTAGCAGATAGCATCACCAAACCCGTCTGATAGAGAGGCCTTTACTCTAGGAGACAGTGGCTTCATACCAATACTGAGAGAGCCTTGTGATGTCTAATACAACTTTCCCTGTGTTGTATGAGACAGCTATTCTATACCATGTCTGGCAGCACTGCAGTTTTAATGTTATGTACATTATGGAAAACCATCACCAAACTTGCAATCTCTCGAGAATGCCTTTCTGCTTTCACACATAGTGAAATGACACTGTCAAACAAGAAAGATGACAATGTAGTCACAACATTTCAGCATTATGAAACATGAAGGCCAATATGCAGTAATTTTGATAACTACAATACTATTTGAAAATGCTCAGATTCAACAAGACAATAAAAGGTTACATTACTTTACTAGCCAGTCTTTCTTAAATGTTCTGTAAAGGTTAGTAGAGAGCTTACCTTGGCCAGACAAAAGCATGCCATCATTCTGACTCTGTAGAAGCATTGTTCCTGCTCCAGGATGTCTGTAAGTGCAAGACGCGAGGCAGGTGTAGGGAAGGTCTCTAAGGCTAGGATGGCTTCTTCCTGTGCCACCACATCTCTCTCATAACGCAACTGGTACTGCCACATAAAATCAGCCTGTTCGAATTCTACTTTCCTCAACACCGACATGTCGGGGTCAATCCTGATCCACAGCAAGGGAGAGTCAGCACTGCAACAAGAAATGTCATTGAAATAACCAACCACCACCAAAGAATGCATTAGCCAATGCTGATTAGGCCTAATTTTAAAGCACATGGCAGTTCCCCAGTATGTACTTTTTATGTGCACTAAAAACACTTTTTCAGTTTATGTGACCATAGGCATCTAAACTTAGTTTTGTATCTGTGGACTCAAAATTGTCAAATTTTGACACCATTGTCTGTGTTTCTACCAGGAAGTATTTGGTAAGTGCATGGGTTGCAACTTGTCAGCGGGACACTTTCCACTACCTGTCAGTGCCCTGCTATGGAAGGAATGGACCCAAAAAAGTTTGAATTCATCCAGAACTTTTCTTTTGAATACAATTGTGAAGAGTTAAAAGGATAAGTTTGCCTTTTAACAAAAAATAATAAATGCACATTTTGTTTGCAAAAAAAAAAAAAAAAAAAGTGCATTTGCCACTGTTTTAGAAGCCTGAAAAGCATTGCACCAGCGATCAGCAGGTCATAGATGCCATGCAGAACTCCTGCAAACGAAGTGTCATCTGTCCGCCTGTACATTGTACAGCGCCGTGGTAGTTCATTAATAACTACAAGCCAACAGCTGCAAAGGCATCAGGACTTGTAGTTTCCCATCCACAGAACTCTGGGAATGAATGATGCGGCCAGGTGGGTGAAGCCCTGCACAGCCATGTTTTTTTTAAAAGAAGATCCCTTGCTAGCTGCACAACGGGGATGGGGGGGGGAGCAGTAGCCGGTCCTATTGCAACATTTTACACCGTGAATATAGAAGATGTTTACAGCTGTACCCGTCCCCACTGGGTAGGCTGCTCCTTTATTCTTATCCTGATGATAGGAAACATTGGTATAGGAAATTACGAGAACTTTACCTGAAATATGGCGATGATGCTCTTTTATTTAGCAAAGTGAAGGAAGGGAACAACTTATCTAGTTATTACTGGTGCTCTCTCTTCACTTGATGCCCCCTGAAACTGGCAAAGGAAGAAAGGGGAAATTTCCCCAAGAGAGATACAAATAAAGCAAAACACTTTTTTTTTTTTTTTTTTTTTTTAAAATGAAGCAGGAAAGGGTCAGAACCCTTATCAGGTTTTCATATCCCTTTGTGAAAACGCATGTAACCACTGGTATTGGTGACATTGATGCGAGTTGAAAAGCAAAAAAAAGGGTAGCTGTAGCAAAAAAAAAAAAAAAAAAATATGAGCAAAGTCTGCAAGGAACACATGATATAAAGTTTTTAGTGATACCTGCTTCTAGTTTAGTATGCATCAGTGATCATCAAAAAGGGATCCATGCTAGTTGTTTGCACAGGGGTGCACTGTAATTATGTCCATTGGACTTAGGGTTAAGAGACTTTTGCAAATGGCCCATGGAATCTGAAGGAATGCATAAATTAACAGCGATATATACAGTACATGACTAAAATAAAGAACAAGACAACCTAATGTAATCACTGGCCAGGCTGGGAAGGATGGTAGATCAACAATAACCAGTGATGCCAGAGGTGGCCCATGTACAGATGTGTGTGGCAAACGCATCTTTTGATCCCTGGGGGCTTGGCAGGGGTCCAACGTGTGGTCAACTGAACTTTGCTACAGAGTCATGAAGTTTATTACAGCGATAAAACCTTGTAACATATGTCCTCCACATTGACCAGTCAGGCTTTGAACATCACACATGTATCTAATTAAATTTTTTCAACTCTCATCTTCTCTATGAAAATTAAAAAAAAAAAAAAAAAAAAAAAAAAAAAAAACTTCTTTGCAAGTGTCTTCCATGTTTGTAGACCGATGCGGTACACAATTCCGGCATTATGTCACCCCAATTATTTGTTTACATAGAGCAACCATCTACCATGGTTTTAAATTTGTATTTAAGTTTGGAAAGTGCCAGAACAGCATGTGAGAGGTATTTCAAAGAAAGGAAGATGCTCATGAAACATTCTGGGATGCAAAGTGTCAGGATGCAACGATGACAGTTAGTGGTTACACAGTGCACTTTAAAAGAGTATTGAGCAGGTATTACCCCACAGCAATGAGCATAGGAAGTTGTTGGGAAGAGTTATCCAGCTGCTGTGATCAATGTTCTGTAAAAGTCCAACCTACTCAGGCCCTGGACTGGGACAAAAAAAAAAAAAAAAAAAAAAAAAAAAAAAAAAAATGGCGCTGGCATTTTAGACTGAGCAGCCAATTTGTCCAGGGACCGGGAAGGGGGGTTGGGCCTGTACAGCTGCAGGCATTCGCAGGGGTTTGGTGACAGAATATTCATGGAGTTGGCCTTCCTGCACTGTAAAGTGGCACTGTGATAAAAAGAGGACTGCACTGTAAAGAGTGCACTGAAATCATTACAGTGCAGTCCCCTTTATATCATTGTAATGATTTCATTGCCCCTTTACAGTGCAGTCCCTTTATATTACAGTACCCCTAGCAATCACAGTCCCCATCACATCACAGTGCCCCTTGCAGTCATGCCCCCCCCCCCCTTTTCTCTCTAAATCACAGTGCCCCCTGTCTATGACAGCTAGCTTCAGATGTCCAGACTTACACTGGTAGTTGGCAGATGACCTCATATTTATGAGTAGCAGCAGATATATTTCAGTCCACTGTTCATGAGTTGTTTGGGGGGGGGGGGGGGGGGGTAGAGAGATTGGGGGGGGGGGGAGGCGAAACTGAGAGAACACAGAACCTGCTCCTACTACCTCCCCTTCCTGTGCATGTCCTGGTCCAGCTCCTTCCACCACTTACTCTGCTGATAGGATGATGAAGGAGGTGGTCGGGGATGTCTATACCCCTGACGAAGAAGGAGGTGGTCGGGGATGTCTATACCCCCCTAACGAAGAAGGAGGTGGTCGGGGATGTCTATACCCCTGACGAAGAAGGAGGTGGTCGGGGATGTCTATACCCCTGACGAAGAAGGAGGTGGTCGGGGATGTCTATACCCCTGACGAAGAAGGAGGTGGTCGGGGATGTCTATACCCCTGACGAAGAAGGAGGTGGTCGGGGATGTCTATACCCCTGACGAAGAAGGAGGTGGTCGGGGATGTCTATACCCCTGACGAAGGAGGTGGTCGGGGATGTCTATACCCCTGACGAAGAAGGAGGTGGTCGGGGATGTCTATACCCCTGACGAAGAAGGAGGTGGTCGGGGATGTCTATACCCCTGACGAAGAAGGAGGTGGTCGGGGATGTCTATACCCCTGACGAAGAAGGAGGTGGTCGGGGATGTCTATACCCCTGACGAAGAAGGAGGTGGTCAAGGGGGGATGTCTATACCCCTGACGAAGAAGGAGGTGGTCGGGGATGTCTATACCCCTGACGAAGAAGGAGGTGGTCGGGGATGTCTATACCCCTGACGAAGAAGGAGGTGGTCGGGGATGTCTATACCCCTGACGAAGAAGGAGGTGGTCGGGGATGTCTATACCCCTGACGAAGAAGGAGGTGGTCGGGGATGTCTATACCCCTGACGAAGAAGGAGGTGGTCGGGGATGTCTATACCCCTGACGAAGAAGGAGGTGGTCGGGGATGTCTATACCCCTGACGAAGAAGGAGGTGGTCGGGGAAGTCTATACCCCTGACGAAGAAGGAGGTGGTCGGGGAAGTCTATACCCCTGACGAAGAAGGAGATGGTTGGGGAAGTCTATACCCCTGATGAAAAAGGAGATGGTCGGGGATGTCTATACCCCTGATGAAGGAGATGGTCGGGGATGTCTATACCCCTGATGAAGGAGGTGGTCGGGATGGCTATACCCCTGATGAAGGAGGTGGTCGGGGGATGTCTATACCCCTGATCAAGGATCAAGCATCTCAGGAAGAACTGATGACAGTGTTGACTTCCACATAAGACTTCCATGGTAAGCCCAGTATGGCACCGACATCAAACAATAGACAATATGTAAACAAATGTACTTAACCGCTTCTGCACCACCCTATAGCAGAAATACTGCTACTGGACAGCATGGGTGTGCAAAATCACGTATATATCGCGGCTGCCAATCACCGGGCCCTGGCCAGTGATTACCGAGGATCTCCGACGTCGAGGAGGACTGTTTTGTCTACCAACAGTTCTCCTCCCTGTGGGCACAGCCATCCAAAGCAGTGTGATTACAGTGAAGCACACTGACACTGCCCCCTAGTAGAACACTCCCAGCACACAGTTAACTTCTTTCTGCCCAGTGCCATTAGTACAGTGTCAGTGCTTTTTTTTAGCACTGATCACTGTATTGTGTCACTGGGGATGTCAGGGACATCAAGTCAGTTCCTTCCAGTATCAGAATGCCCGGCGCAGTCCCGCTATAAGCCGTTGATTGCCATTACTAGTAAAAATTAAAAAAAAAAAAAAAAAAAAATTTAAATTCCAGTATATATACACACACCGCCATTTGTAAACGCTATAACTTTGACGTAAAAAAAAAATAAATTTACACGTATTGGGATTTTTTTTTTTTAGCAAAGACATGTAGCAGAATACATTTTGGCCTAAATTCATGACGAAATTTGATTTTTTCAATTTTTTTACTGGACATGTTTAACAGCAAAAAGTAAAAAATATAGTTTTTTTTTTTCTCAAAATTGGTCTTTTCTTTTTTATTAGCGCAAAATATATAAACCGCACAGGCGATCAAATACCACAGAAAGAAAGCTCAATTCATGGGGAAAAAAAAAAGGGACGTAAATTTACCGTATTTTTTGTTCCATAAGACGCACCTGACCATAAGGCGCGCCTAGGTTTTAGAGAAGAAAAAAAAAAAAAAAAAAAAAAAAAAAAAAAAAAAAAAAAAAAAAACATTCTGAACCCATGGACTGCATGCATAGTACAGGGGATGACCAGAAACTGCGGATACAGTACAGGGGATGACCAAGAGACTGCAGACAGTACAGGGGATGACCAAGAGACTGCAGACAGTACAGGGGATGACCAGAGACTGTGGACCTTTGGGGAGGGAGGGGGAGCGAGTAACTGAATTTGAGAAGTACCCGCTCCCAGTTCCGTGGAA